CGCGGACATTGGCCTCCGCTGGGCCGCGCACGCGCCTCGGGCCACGATTTGCGAGCCCCCCCCCTCGGACGCTGCCCTCCTGGACGCCCCCGAGGCTGCCCCCGCCCCCCGCCCCAATGGGGCCCCAGCAGCGGCAAGGCCGTGCGGTCTCCGCCGCGGTACAGGAGAGAAGCTGCTCGGAACAGAGATGGGCAGTGCTCAGGCTTGGGAGTGGGGGGGGGAAGCTCCTGGAAGCAGGAGAGGCGCGGCTCCGGGAGGGGAGCTTCGAGCGGAGCTGGGAGCAGCATCAGCGACAGGGCCTGGGAGCGACCGAGAACAAAATCGGAGACCGCTCGGGGGCAGCCAGCGGTGAAAGGGTGGTTCTGCCCTGGGGCCCAAGATGCCTCGGAAACTGGAGCAAATACATGACCAGTGGCGGGCGGTTTTTCAACCCCAGGACTTTCTGATGGTCGGGGACGACGTCGGGGTGGTGTGGTGTATACTTGTTGTGTTCGCTTTCCGGGGGGAACAAAGAAGAATGTATACACCAGGATCCCGTATGCACCAGTATCCGCTTCCCTGTGCGAAATTCGATACAGAGTTCTGTTCTTTTTTGCCCCCAGCTTTTTCTCTCAGCGATGGAGCCCCAGGGGCCCACGGGGCCTCGCGAGGGGTGATCTGCAGATACTCAGAGCCCCGACGTGTTCAAGAACGTCGACCCCTTACGAGGTCCCGACCTCGTCCCCGGGACCCGTTGCTCGCCCCGAGGAGCTTTTGGACTATGCCGAAGGCCGGCACAAGGGCCCCCAGAGGACGCCAGCAGCGAACAATTGTCCGTCGTGTTTCTTGTACCCGATTGTTTGAGGGCTCGATGGGGTGGGGTGGGGTGGCCGCGGGGCCCTCCTTGGAGATCTTGGGGGCACCCTTGGGCTGTGGAGGACGATCAATGGAGAGGAAGCATGGTGCCGAATCATTTCCACATGTCTAGAACATGTGTCAAACATGTTCTGAACATGCTTCAAACATGTTTAAAACACGTCTAGAACATATTCCTACAGTTTAAAGCACATGGAGCATCCAATGATAGGACTGTTAGGGTGTCCATTGTCGTGGCATCCACGGCCCTTGGGCCAGGGGCACTTCTGGCAACGCCGTGGCCCGAGGGGGGCACAAAGAGGCCCCGCCATGTCCAGCGCGTGCCCAGGCTGTGGGCGCCCGACTGCCGCTACATGCTGGGCGGCGGGAGGGGGGGGGGGGGGAGGCGCGGGAGCGGCGGCCAGGAGCCCGACGCGGCCCAGGCTGGGGCAACCCCTGCCTCCCCCTCCTGCTCCTCCTGCTCCTGCTCCTCCTCCTCCCTTCCTCCTCCTCCTCCTCCTCCTCCTTCAACTTCTCCTCCTCCTCCTGCTCCTCCTCATCCTCCTCCTTCGACTTCTCCTCCGCCTCCTCCTTCTCCTCCTGCTCCTCCTCCTCATCCTCCTCCAACTCCAGCTCCCACTCCAGCTCCAATTCCTTCTCCTCCCAGCTCCTCCACCCTCTCCTGCTCCTCCTCCTGCTCCTCCTCCTTCTCCTGCTCCTGCTACTGCTCCCCTTGCCCGTCCTCCTCCCGGCTCCTCGTGCCACCTATACCCCATGCGGCTGGTCCCGCTGAGCAGGAGGCGCCTTCGTGCCTGCGCAGTGCTCACAATGCGTCGCTCGGGTACGAGCCACCCCAGCAGAAGGGATGTCCTGACAGCAGCAACGGTGGACAGGCGGGCCAGGCTCGAGAGCAGCGGGGACTGGTGAGCAGCGCGGCCATGTGCACCTCGGTGTCTTGCTGTGCAGGGGGTCGTGGCAGTCCAGGCCCACAATGTGTATCTGGCACTCGGCAGGGCGCGATTCCCGAGTAAAAAGTGCGAGGGAGACTCGGATGACGGTTGCCGCATTGGGCGTCCGCAGGGCTGCGGGTTTCCGGGCGTCCTCGGGCTCCTTGGCGCACGGAGCGCGCCGGAGGCGCCGCCATGGGGACCCCCGCGCCGATCCGGGAAATCCGCGCGGACCTTCGAGTTTTTTGGTGCTTCTGCCATTCTTCGTTCCCCTGTTCCCGTTCTCCCCGTGGGTTTCGCGATGTATGAGTGTCTGCTGCGCCCAGGGAGCAGGCAGCCCACGGCTCCCGGATGATGCGGGAGCACCCTCGGTGCGGCGCGTCTCCCGACGCAGCCCCCCCGTGCTCTTGGGGTGCCCTCGCCAGTCCTGGTATCTCTGCGCGCCCTACGGGCGGACTGACTATTTGCAAGAACAGCGAAGTTTTTTTTATACAAAAACATTCAAACGTAGCCAATGCATGATCCCATACTAATCATATCCAGAACCCATTCAAACATATTCAACAATACTCTCACACATCACAACGAAATAGACACCAACATCGCCCACAATTCAGGAAAAAAAACACGAAACAATGCCTCCATGTTGTTTGGGGGCTGGTTTTTGAACATCCCTCCTGCAGAGGGACTCGCCCGGCTTGCCCCTACACCTTGGGCGATGCTTAAGAAAACTTAAGTTTTCGGCCAGAGTCTCGATTATTCTTAATGTTTCACTGTAAATCTTAAGATTTTAATGCAAATGTTGGGTTTTATTCAAGTTCTGAGACTATGAATTTCTTAACCCATGATTTCTTAAGCATTTCGCAGGGTGTACCCCCGCCCTCTCTCCTGCAGGCGGAGAGCTGGGCCCGCGCCCCCCCCCGAGGCGCCCGCGCAGCCCCGCGCGACCCTTCCCCCCCCCCGCCCCCTGTGGAGGCGTGCGGCCTGCCCGGCGTGCTGCCCGGCATGTACGCGGGGGCCCTGGCCGCCTCCAAGTCAAAAGGCCTCCTCGGGCGCGGAGGCAACGCGCGTCGGGGGGAGCGGCAGGGGGGGTGTTCCTCCTCCTCCTCCTCCTCCTCCTCCTCCTCCTCCTCCTACTCGCCTCCTCCTCCTCCTCCGCCTCCTCCTCCGCCTCCTCCTCCTCCTCCTCCGCCTCCTCCTCCGGGCTGGGGGGGGGGGGAGGGCCAGCGGGCGGCGGCCGATCCCCTGCGGCCCCGGTCGCAGCAGAAGAGAAATCAAACAAGCATAAACTGTTGGCCCTCCGCGCGGATCTCTTGGATGCGCACGGGGCCCCCCCGGGCGGCGCCTCCGGCGCCGCGCTCCGCGCGCCAGGGAGGGGGGCCCCGCGCGGATCCAGGAAGTCCGTGCGGAGCGCCAGAAGTCTCTGTTGATCTGGTTGGTTTGTCCTCTGCCCGGGAGGGGGGTGGGGGGTTCTCGGTCGGCGAGGGGGTCTGCGGGCCTCTCATCGGCGGCGAGCCCCGGGGGGGAAGCGAAGAGGAGAAGGCCTGCGCAGGAGGCTCAGGTGTGGCAGGGTGAAGGGGGAACGGCAAGGAGGAGGAGGAACAAGAGGAGGAGGAGGAGGAGGATGAGGAGGAGGAGAAGGAGGAGGCGGAGGCGGAAGAGGAGAAGGAGGAGGAGGAAAAGGAGGGGGAGAAGGAGAAGGAGGGAGAAGGGGGTGCATGGTTTTCAGGGGGCCGGTTCCGAGAAGCCGCCCTGCCATTCGGAAGGCCGCCCCCTCATTCAGCTCGTCCTGATCGCCGCTAATCTTCAGAATGAATTGGATCGGCGGCCGAATCATGCTCTGACCATGGATCGGATTAGTTCGAACGTTTCTCAGGTGGAGCCCAAGATGACCACCGTCGGGAGTCAGGACACGACTGGGCCGATGACGCGCGACGAGCTGAAGGACCTGTCCAGCTGGAAGTGCTGGGCTTTGCCAGCTCAAGGGGGGTTTCAGGGCCACGAGGTTTCCCAGGCGAGTCCACCGATTCCCTCTCCTACATGCGCTGATCCTGCACTTTTCCGCGCCTGCCTGATGGTCCTCCTCACGAGAGGGAGCACGACGCCGTGGACAGAGTCTCGACAGGAGTCCTCGACGCCGACTCCCTGCGGCATCTCTCGAGCCGGATGGGCCCGCGAGAGGCCCTGGTGTCCGGACACCCTGGCGAGGGCGCTGGCACGACTTCGGAATCCGAGGGCCCCTCCCTTCTTGGCCCTCCCCGCCCCCTCGCAGGTCGGAGGGGAGGAGAAGCGACGATGGCATTAGGTCGTGCATGTCCCCCTACAGGCGGATTTTGAACGGAAAATGAAACATACTAAAAAAGCAATGGGGAATAGTCAAAAATCTGTGAAACATCGTCCCCATACGAACTTTTTAAACTATTTTTGGATACTCCTCCTGTAGAGGGACAGGCCCGACTGAACGCTGGCACGACTGGAAGATGAGCACACGTCGTGAGCAGAAACTTCCAAGGTCCGCGCAGATTTCCTGGATCCGCGCTGGGCCCCCCTTGGCCTGCGCCTCCTGCGGCGCCCCTGGCGCGCGCCGCGAGCCAGGGAAGGGGGGTCCATCGCACATCCCCGGGGTGCGCGCGGATCTCCGGAAGCTGTTGTTTTCGCAGTTGGTGTCTTTCTTCTGACCACCGGGCCAGCCTCCCAGCGAGGAGGCACCGACGTTGCACGAGGCCTCCCCCAACCTGGAGGATGGAGATGTCTCGGGCAGGGCGCCGCGGGGCAGGGGGGGGCTCACCCCCAGGCGTCAGACGTCGAAGGGTTGTCGATCACGGCGTCTTTCCTTCATGTCGGCGGCGTTTGGGAGCCTTTTTTCGGGTCCGAAAGGCCATCAGGCACAACATAATATTGGTATGCAGCGCAGCTATTTGGAGGTGAACTTCAGAATCGGCGCTGGAATACCTATACGACCACCCTTCGGGTGATAATTAAGGGGATTGGGGGAGGAACCAACGATCGAATCGATCTTACTATCTGACTATTGATCTTACCATCGATCTTTACATCGATATTACTATCGATCTCACTCTCAATATCACGATTGGTTTCACGATCGAACTTATTTTCGATCTCAGCATCGATCTCGCTATCGGTCTCATTACCGATCTCACTGTCGATTTTACTATCGATCCCACTATCGAGCCCAACTATCGATCTCAGTGTCCATCTCACTATCGATCTCGCTAGGGGACGCCGACGGGACACCGACGGGACACCACGGCGGGACAACCCCGCCACCGCCCGCCCACCAGGGGAGGTTTGGACAGCTCTCTTGTCCCGCCCCGCAGCTTCGCCTCGCCCGCGCGCACGACAGGAACCCGAATCCGAGACTGCTTTCCTGGTGGGGTGGTCTCTTTTCAACGTCACTCTAATCCCACAACCTCCGATACGTGTTCGGAAACTTGCCTGATCCGGCAAAGTCCTGGCATCGCTCGGTCGTGTGCATATTTTTTTCTCGGCGAAAACAATCAAGGATCATCCTGGACCATCGAGCAAAATTATCCTGGCGAAGGACCCAACCACATGCAATTGTGAGTACCGCAATTGTGAATATCTTCTTCGGTGGAGCCCCCTACGGGGCCACGACGTACGAGGGGTGTGCCGAAATGGGTATGCGGGACGCATGCGGGCACACCCACTGGGGCCTTCGGCGGAGCTCTTATGGGACCACAAAACGTGTGAGGGGTCACGAAACGCGTGAGGGGTGTGCCAAATTGGGTGTGCGGGGCGCATGCGGGCACACCCACTGGGGCCTTCGGCGGAGCTCCCTATGGGGCCACGAAACGTGTGAAGGGTATGCCGGCATGGGTGTGCGGGACGCATGCGGGCACACCCACTGGGACCTTCGGCGGAGCTCCCCATGGTGCCACGAAGCGTGTGAAGGGTATGCCGAAATGGGTGTGCGGGACGCATGCGGGGCAGCACTGGGACCTTCGGTGGAGCCCCCTACGGGGCCACGAAACGTGCGAGGGGTGTGCCGAAATGGGTGTGCGGGACGCATGCGGGCACACCCACTGGGGCCTTCGGTGGAGCTCCCTATGGGACCACGAAACGTGTGAGGGGTAACGAAACGCGTGAGGGGAGTGCCGAAATGGGCGTGCGGGGCGCATGCGGGCACACCCACTGGGGCCTTCGGTGGAGCTCCCTATGGGGCCACGAAACGTGTGAAGGGTATGCCGGCATGGGTGTGCGGGACGCATGCGGGCACACCCACTGGGACCTTCGGCGGAGCTCCCTATGGTGCCACGAAGCGTGTGAAGGGTATGCCGAAATGGGTGTGCGGGACGCATGCGGGGCAGCACTGGGACCTTCGGTGGAGCCCCCTACTGGGCCACGAAACGTGCGAGGGGTGTGCCGAAATGGGTGTGCGGGACGCATGCGGGCACACCCACTGGGGCCTTCGGTGGAGCTCCCTATGGGACCACGAAACGTGTGAGGGGTCACGAAACGCGTGAGGGGAGTGCCGAAATGGGCGTGCGGGGCGCATGCGGGCACACCCACTGGGGCCTTCGGTGGATCTCCCTATGGGGCCACGAAACGTGTGAAGGGTATGCCGGCATGGGTGTGCGGGACGCATGCGGGCACACCCACTGGGACCTTCGGCGGAGCTCCCTATGGGGCCACGAAGCGCGTGAGGGGTGTGCCGAAATGGTTGTGCGGGACGCATGCGGGCGGCAGCACTGGGGCCTTCGGTGGGGCTCCCGATGGGGCCACGAAACGTGTGAGGGGTGTGCCGAAATGAATGTGCGGGACGCATGCGGGCACACCCACTGGGGCTTTCGGTGGAGCTCTTATGGGGCCACGAAACGTGTGAGGGGTGTGCCGAATTGAGTGTGGGTGACGCATGCTGGCGGCAGCACTGGGGCCTTCGGCGGAGCTCCTATGGGGCCACGAAACGTGTGAGGGGTGTGCCGAATTGGGTGTGCGTGACGCATGCGGGCGGCAGCACTGGGGCCTTCGGCGGAGCTCCCTATGGGGCCACGAAACGTGTGAGGGTGTGCCGAATTGGGTGTGCGGGACGCATGCGGGCGGCAGCACTGGGGCCTCCGGCGGAGCTCCTTATGGGGCCACGAAACGTGTGAGGGTGTGCCGAATTGGGTGTGCGTGACGCATGCGGGCGGCAGCACTGGGGCCTTCGGCGGAGCTCCCTTATGGGGCCACGAAACGTGTGAGGGTGTGCCGAATTGGGTGTGGGTGACGCATGCGGGCGGCAGCACTGGGGCCTTCGGCGGAGCTCCTATGGGGCCACGAAACGTGTGAGGGGTGTGCCGAATTGGGTGTGCGTGACGCATGCGGGCGGCAGCGCTGGGGCCTTCGGCGGAGCTCCCTATGGGGCCACGAAGCGTGTGAGGGGTGTGCCGAATTGGGTGTGCGTGACGCATGCGGGCGGCAGCCCTGGGGCCTTCGGCGGAGCTTCCTATGGGGCCACGAAACGTGTGAGGGGTGTGCCGAAATGGGTGTGCGTGACGCATGCGGGCGGCAGCACTGGGGCCTTCGGCGGAGCTCCCTATGGGGCCACGAAACGTGTGAGGGTGTGCCGAATTGGGTGTGCGGGACGCATGCGGGCGGCAGCACTGGGGCCTCCGGCGGAGCTCCTTATGGGGCCACGAAGCGTGTGAGGGTGTGCGAATTGGTGGTGGGTGACGCATGCGGGCGGCAGCCTAGGGGCCTTGGCGGAGCTCCTAGGGGGCCACAAACGTGTGAGGGGTGTGCCCCGAATTGGGTTGTGGGTGACGCATGCGTGAGGCAGCAACTGGGGGCTTTCGGCGGAGCTCCTATGGGGGCCACGAAGCGTGTGATGGGTTGTGCCGAATTGGGTGTGGGTGACGCATGCGGCGGCAGCACTGGGGCCTTCTGCGGAGCTCCCTATGGGGCCACGAAACGTGTGAGGGGTGTGCCGAATATGGGTGTGGGTGACGCATGCGGGCGGCAGCACTGGGGCCTTCGGTGGAGCTCCCTATGGGGCCACGAAACGTGTGAGGGGTGTGCCGAATTGGGTGTGCGTGACGCATGCGGGCGGCAGCACTGGGGCCTTCGGTGGAGCTCCTATGGGGCCACGAAACGTGTGAGGGGTGTGCCGAATTGGGTGTGGCGTGACGCATGCGGGCGGCAGCACTGGGGCCTTCGGTGGAGCTCTTATGGGGCCACGAAACGTGTGAGGGGTGTGCCGAATTGGGTGTGGGACGCATGCGGGCGGCAGCACTGGGCCTTCGGTGGGAGCTCCTATGGGGCCACGAAACGTGTGAGGGGTGTGCCGAATTGGGTGTGCGGGACGCATGCGGGCGGCAGCACTGGGGCCTTCGGTGGAGCTCCCTATGGGGCCACGAAACGTGTGAGGGGTGTGCCGAATTGGGTGTGCGGGACGCATGCGGGCGGCAGCACTGGGGCCTTCGGTGGAGCTCCCTATGGGGCCACGAAACGTGTGAGGGGTGTGCCGAATTCGGTGTGCGGGACGCATGCGGGCGGCAGCACTGGGGCCTTCGGTGGGGCTCCCTATGGGGCCACGAAAAGCCGTGTGAGGGGTGTGGGGCCACGAAACGTGTGAATTCGGTGTGGGTGACGCATGCGGGCGGCAGCTTTGGGGCCTTCGGCGGAGCTCCTATGGGGCCACGAAACGTGTGAGGGGTGTGCCGAATTCGGTGTGGGTGACGCATGCGGGCGGCAGCACTGGGGCCTTCGGTCGAGTTCCCTATGGGGCCACGAAACGTGTGAGGGGTGTGCCGAATTGGGTGTGGGTGACGCATGCGGGCGGCAGCACTGGGGCCTTCGGCGGAGCTCCTCATGGGGCCACGAAGCGTGTGAGGGGTGTGCCGAATTGGGTGTGGGTGACGCATGCGGGCGGCAGCACTGGGGCCTTCGGTGGAGCTCCCTATGGGGCCACGAAACGTGTGAGGGGTGTCCCGAAATGGAGGGGGGAGGAGGGAGGAGGGGGAGGAGGGAGGGGGCAGCGGGAGGAGGAGGGAACGCGGGGCGCTGTCTCTTCAAAACGAGGACCCAACACCACAGGATGGTTGGGAAAAACACACGCACGAAACCGAAACATGCACGGGAAATGGACGTCCGAGCGACGGCAAGAAGTCCGATTCGCTTTCGACGAATCTCTTGCAGTGCAGCTGAATCCGGCTCGGTCGCGGCCTTCTCCGGCTTTTCCCGGGTTTAACTTCTCAGGTCGGGCATGTCGTCTTGAACGCGGATTTCGGGCGAGAAAGAGATAGTACCCATCAAATACAACAATAAATCAACACATGCGCAACAACAACGTCCCCACATTATTTTTGAATATGTTTGAGTATTCCTCTTGTAGAGGGACATGCCCGACTTAATAATGGACCTCAATCGTGCTGCCGATGACCTCCCAGGAGTTGCCTCGTTCAAATCCCCCACGGCCCTGGCGCAGCCGAGTAGAACAACTACATAGAGTCGGTGGGGTGTGGGTCTCTGGCTCGCAGCGATGGTGGAGGGCGCCGCCCTCCTCGTCTTTGTCCTCCTTTGTCCTCCTCCTCCTCCTCCTCGTCCTCCTCCTCCTCCTCTTCCTCCTAGTCCTGCTGCTCCTCCCTTGTCCTACTCCCTCGTCGCTCTCCCGTTCCTGCCCCCCCGTCCCTCCTCTTCCCTCCCTCTCTTTCTCCTCGTCCTACTCCCTGGTGCCCTCAATGTTCCCGCCAGTCGAGGACCTGGCTTGCCTTGGCTTCTCCGCGGACCTGGTCATGCAGTCCTTCTGCCACACGGCGGCGTACCCGAAGCCTGTTGACGTCGTCACCCACCACACCCTGCCGGACTTCACCAGGGGATGCATACATGTGCATATGCCGGGTGATATGGGGCCCCTTTTGACTTCCGTTGCGCCCAGGTGCACGGAGAGCGCCCAGGGAACACCCAGCCCCTTCCAAAGCAGAGTGAACCTTGCCCCACATTTTAGAACGGTACCCCAATCCCTGAGTTGAGGGAGAGAGAGAAGGTGAGGAGGAGATGCGGAGGGAGAAGGCGACGAGGGAGGTGGACGACGAGGAGGCAGAAGGCAGGAGGATGAGGAGGATGAGGAAGAGGAGGAGGAGGAGGAGGAGGAGGAGGAGGAGGAGGAGGAGGAGCCGACACGGAGTCCGTATCCAGTGTACTAGGTGCGCCAGGGTAGGAACCATACGCAAAGCCCGATGGGTCTTGAAGCCCTGCATGCCCCAATTTAGTATCTTCGGGGCCCATGAGTCCCATGCTCCGCACATCCGCGCCCATCGGTGTGTCACGCTGTGCGTAAGGTGTGAGGGCTGGAGCGCCTACCAGAGCCGAAGTCTTCGGGAGGATTGCGGCCTCCTGACGACGACTGGGCGCAAGGCCGTCCACCGCTTCCTCTCAGGCCAGAAGCCACAAGGTCTCCTCTCATGGCCAGCAGGCGAGATTGCAGCCCTGAGAGAGCGAGCTGCACGCCAGGCAGGAGCCGTGCCTCTTTTTAGGCACGGGGCGTGGGGTCCGCGGCGCGCGCGGGTACACCCAATCTGGGGAAACCTCGAGACATGGAGGATGAGGAGGAGGAGGAGGAGGCAGGAGGAGGAGGAGGAGGAGGCAGGATAGGGGAAGGGCAGTATGGGGCAGGAGGAGGCAGGATAGGGGAGGAGGGGGGGACAGCGGGGAGGCAGGAGGAGGAGGAGGCAGGAGGAGGAGGAGGAGGAGGCAGGATAGGGGGAGCGCAGTATGGGAGAGGAGGAGGCAGGATAGGGGGAGGAGGGGGGGGACGGCGGGGAGAAGAGGTTGGAGCAGGAAGGAAGGGGGGGACGACGCAGACCTGTGGACCGTGCGGGTGCTGTCGTGCGCCTCGGCCGATTGGATCGTGCTCCCGCTGCAGCGCGAATCCCATGTCAGGGGCGGCGCTCTGCTGCCGTAGGTCAGGATGTGTCGAAGAAATAGAAAATCGGAGGAGGACAGACCTACCCTGACACGTCGATTCAGGAGCCGGCCGTGATTGGTTCGCGAGAAGATGTCGCGGCCGTCATTTTTGCTGGTCCATGTCCGTCGGTTTCGGCCCCAGGCCGTTCTCACTAAGGGGAGGTTTACTAAAGGCAGGTGTGCCCACCGCCGAAAAAACGCCACAAACATATTTTTTGGGCGCTCCGTGCGGATTTCTTCCTGGCGCGCGGAGCGCGCCAGGGGCGGCGCCGGAGGCGCCGCCAGGTGGGGGCCCAGCGCGGATCCGAGAAATCCGCGCGGTTTTGTCCTTCCAGTTCTGTTGCCGTGGGTCAGGATGGCGCTCTCGCCCCAGAGCGCGGGCCACACTGCTCGATCCGAGTCCTCCTGCATCCCTGTCGCCAGCCTCCTTCCCTGGTACTCCTGCCTTTCCCGCCCTCCCTGCTTTTTCCTGCCCCTTGCTCCTCCGCCGGCTTCTCGTCCTCGCCCAACGTGCACAACTCCCTTTTCTGATCGCGCATCGTACGACAGTGTCACTTCGGGGACCTCGCCCCACCGCTCGGACATCCGTCGGCGGACAACGACGGACAAGAACTGCGCAGCGGGAAGTGATGGGCGGGAGGACCAGCATGTCAGATTTGCGCGCGCCAGGCATGGTATCCGACTGTCTGATTTCTCAACGCGCGGCCGAGAGGTCTCGATCTCTTTCCAGGCTCGCATGGATCCTGATGGCCCCTAGGCCCGATGACGGACTTCGGAGGCCGAAAGCAAGGACGCACGGGCTACTATTCTAGGTATGCTACGACGCGGGCCAACGGATAACAGAAAACATCAGCGCAATAGGAAGGGATGGGTGCGTGAGAGGGGTCGGGTGTCCGATTTGGCGCGACCCCTCTGGCTTCACCCCCCTATCTAATTGTCTCCTTTCTTTCGACGGCACTGCCGAGCCCCCCTTTTCACGGACTGAGCCAGGCATACCGCCGGAGATCTTGACGCCTGGCTTGCCCCGCCCCCCCCCTTTCCGTGAGAGCCGACGCTGCGACAGACAGAGCAGCGCCGCAAAAAAATCACGGCCTGGACCACGAGCGCAATTTTTGTGCGCAGTATTTCGAGCCGGATCGGCCCGTGAGGGCCCCCTCGTGGGGCCCGAAACGGGGCGACACGGCGGGGCGACACAGCGCCCGTTGCGAAGCAATCGTCCCCCTGCCGACGGCCCTCCCCTCCGCTTCTTCCCCCCCTCCCCTCTCTTCCCCCCCCCTTCTCCTCCCCCCTTCCGCCCTTCCTCCTCTTTCCCCCCCTCCTCCCCTCTCCGCCCCTCCTCCTCCCTTCCCCTCTCATCCCCCCCCTCCCGCCCCTCGCCACCCCTCCCCCCCCCCCCTTTTCACCCCCTTCCCCTCCCCCCCCCCCCCTCCTCCTCCCCCCCCTTTCTCCCGCCCGCCTCCCCGCGTCCCCCGCCCCCCGCCCCCCCCCGCCCGAGGACTTCATCCGCGACCGCGGCGGCGTGGCCCTGCGCCCCGGCGACGGCATCATCCACTCGTGGCTCAACCGCATGCTGCTGCCGGACACCGTGGGCACGGGCGGCGACTCGCACACCCGGCTCCGCCGCTGGGCCCCCTTTCTCCTCCTCCTCCTCCTCCTCCTCTTCTTCCTCCTCTTCCTCCTCCTGCTCCTCCTCTCCTCCCTCCTCCTCTCCTCCTCCTCCTCCTCCTCTTCCTCCTCCTCCTCCTCCTCCTCCTCCTCCTCCTCCTCCTCCTCCCCTCCTCCTCCTCCTCCTCCCTCCTCCTCCCTCTTACCTCTCCTCCTCCTCCTCCTCCTGCTCCTCCTCCTCCCTCCTCCTCCCTCCTTCTCCCTCCTCCTCTCCCTCCCTCTTCCCTCCTCCCTCCTCCATCCTCCCTTCTCCTTTCTCACCCTCCTCCTCCTCCTCCTCCTCCTGCTCCTCCTCCTACTCCTCCTCCTTCTCCTCCTTCTCCTCCCCCTTCTTCTCCTCCTCCTTCTCCTCCTTCTCCTCCTTCTCCTCCTTCTCCTCCCCCTCCTCCTCACCCCCCATCCTCCTACTGATCCTTTTCCGACGTTCGGGACGATCGAGATGGGTACGGAAAGAATGGGTAGGATGCCCAACAGCAGTTCCTGGTCAGTTTGAACAGGACGCGCTGTCCGCGCCGCCGCGGACGTTGTTCATTGAAGACAACAAGCCGCCTGCCCAACAGCGGCCGCTGCTGGTTTTGGACAACATGTGTTGTTGGGCATTGTAGCAATGCTTACCGTACCAACTTCGGACGTCCAAAGCCGTGGGACCCCCTCCCCAGACACCCTTGCGTTGGGCGAAACATCGACGGAAGGCTGTTCGCCATGTTCGGCTTCTGGGGGCCATTGCTGGCCTTCGGGACTGTCAAAAACTATTCAGGAGGAGAAACTGGTCCCAGGGGATAGGCTTAGTGGGCCCCGGAAACGGCAGGGCCGTGTTTTCACCGTTTCCGAAAAAGGGTCCCTTGAAAATGGAAACGACAAAAAACGGCGACCGGAAACGGCAACAAAAACGGCTCCAGGATTGGATCTGGAGCGGGAACCCGTAAAAGAACGGCGACGGAACCGGCGGTGACAAAACGGCGTCGGAACCGGCAACAAAACAACGGCAAAATGGAACAGGTTAGAAAAACGGCCCTGTCGTTTCCAGGGCCCACTACGGTCGAGACCTCTTGGGGTCGACGTTGTGAGCATCATCGCGACGTCGGGGCCTGGGTCCCTGCCGGGGGCAACGCGAAGGGTCGAGGGAGGACAAGCTTCCCATGTTGCCACTTGCCCCTCGCCCGTTTTCCCATTGTCCCTCTCCCGGGAGGCCCTCGTCGCCACCTCTGGCTTCGCCTCGAAGGGCTGGTCAGAGCGCACCCGGGAGAGATCCAGGCGTAGCGTGAAGTCGGGCTTGTCTCTCTACAGGAGGAATATTAACAAACGCTCCACAATAGTCAGGGGACGATTTTCTCATTAGACTATTGTTGAATATTAGCTGAGTTTTTTATGCTTCGCCCAAAATCCGCCTGTAGAGGGGCAGGCCCGACTTCAGGGTAGCAGTATGGGTACCTTCTGGTTTCGCCAGAAAGGGGGGAGAGGGGCGCCGGGGGCGACGCACCGACGGCCTATTGGGGCGATTCGTGTACCCCCGGAGCGCTCTGGACGATGCGCAGCTGCTGACCGCATCCCGAGGCAAGATTCCCCAAGAGTCGACCTCGCCTTCGGGGGCCCGGCGAGGGCCCAAGAGGGGATCGGAGGTTGATAGTCATCCTACCCTGACGCGTCGATTAACGAATTGGCCGTTTTCGGTTCGCGACAGGGCGTCGCGGCTGTCATTTGTGCGGGTCCAGGTCTGTCGGTTTCGGTCCTGGGCCGTGTTCACGAAACGGAGGTTTACTAAAGGGAGGTGTGTCCACCGCCGAAGGGAGAAAACGGATTCATGGGTCGTCACAGATGTCCAAACAGAAACGGCATTGACGCCCTCCTCCCATCGGCACCGGCATCGGCCCAGGTTCCCCATCGGTATCTCCTTCCCCGCCGGCTCCGGCGCCGTCGCGTTCGCGGCCGCCACCGGCGTCATGCCCCTGGACATGCCGGAGTCCGTTCTCGTGAAGTTCAAGGCGACGGCCCCGGCAGGGGCGCCTGCTCCTCAGGAGGCCGAGGAGGCCAATGCGGAGGTCGAGGAGGAGGAGGAGGAGGGGAGGAGAAGGAGGAGGACGGGGAAGGTCTCTCGGGACCCGTCTGCAGGAGGGGAATGAGGGGGGGAGAGGCAGAGGGAGGAGACAGGGGAGGAGGAGGAGGGAGGAGGGGGAGGGGGAGGGGGAGGGGGAGGAGGAGTAGGAGTAGGAGTAGGAGTAGGAGTAGTAGGAGGAGGAGGAGGAGGAGGAGGAGGAGGAGGAGGAGGAGAAGAAACAGGAGAGTGAGGAGGAGGAGGATGGAGGATGAGCGGGAGCACGATGATTACGTAAGGGGTGGGGGCTATTCTACCGCCAGGGGTCTAGACATCGCCGCTCCGACTCGTCGTCGTCCTTGTCTGGGGTCGGGCATGTCCCTCTACAGGGAGAAGATTCGAGAATCGTCAAAAATAGTCTGGGGACGATAGTTTGACTATTTTTGTTTATTATTGAGTATGTTGTGATTTTTCTTGCTTTTCTTCCAGCATCCGCCTGTAGGAGGAAATGCCCAACCTAATCCTTGTCCCCCTCCACTCCAGGCAGCCTCCTCCCGCTCCTTCCCCCCCTCCTCGTCCACTCTTCTCGTTCGACACTCCATCCTCCACTTCTCCTCCTTGCCTCCTCATCATCCTTACCCTCATCCTCCTCCTTCCACTCCCTAGAAGCCCTGTGTCGCGGCTGGCTTTGCGTCAGTGTGGGCCTCGGGGCGAAAAAATCGAGGCAGGAAGCATTGGGTCCCAGGATGGAGCCGAGAGGTTGGGGGACCTCCGACGTCGCGTTATCTCATCCAGCGGTTGTGGTCCCCCACCTGCTGGATGAGAATTCACCCCCCAGGACCAGCAACTCACCCCCACCCTTTCCCAAGCAAGCAAGAACACCAAGAGAGCGCGCTTCTGGGCGCTGTTTCTTGGCCCTCAGGGTCGTCATGTAGTTGTCAGCTGAGCGACGCCGGTAAGCTGAGAAGTCTTCACGGACATTGCCGAGTAAGTTGTCCCAGTAAGGTCGCGCGTAAATGCCTTTTGTCTCCAATGTTGTGAACGCGCTGCAAGCCCGCGTAAGTTTCGGCGTGACGTCGCTATGCCCTCCCGCATACGACATCATTATTTTGGCCGCTCGGCTGTGGCCCCCTGGAAGGGGGGGCGGAACATCTCTGGGCCCGCAAGGGCTGACTGAAACAAATAACATGACAGCGGCGGTCTGGGGCGATTCCTTCCCCTCTTGCCGAGGCACAGAAGGGATTGAAGACGAGGGAGAGGGGGAGGTGTTCCAGCGAGGCTTACGAAGAATGAATGGCCAGAAGAGAACATCGGGCATCCCCTCTGGCTACAGGAGGCGTCCCCTTGAAACACCAACCACCCACGTGCCTGCTATTCAGGCGAGCCCCTCCTGTCGTGCATCCTCCAAGCGAATCGTACAGCATGTGATCTTCTATTCTGATACAATTCAGCTGGGTTCCCAGACGCCGTTCAGACATAAACACGTTATACCTGATGTGTGAATGTTGGACAAGTCAACAGTTTTGGCGATGCATCCCTTGGAAGTGTTAAACATATGAGACATTGACTTGCCCTCAATCCGTCTGGTTGCTGCTTTCTGTCAAGAGAACTCTCCCACAGTGACAAGGCGAGAGTTCTTTAAAAACGAGTTGCCCCAATCCTCACAGGTGTGTATGGCTTTTACGATGAATGTTCGCAGCGCTGAGGGCGAGCGGTGCGTGATGAAAACGATCCACCCGTCATCCTTAACATTAGTGATAGTTTGTTGCTACGAATGAGGAGCAGGTTAGGGTGAGAGCCCCATGTTGAACAGGAACTGCACTCCGTAAAAGTAGTTGCCGCAACAGTGCACGACGAGACGAAGACTCCGTTTTTGAACGCAACCCGCCATCCATCTATCTGCCGACTGTAAGCTTATGGGACGGATGAACACGGTGCCAAGGCGAGAGTTTTTTTTTGAACGGCCCTCTTCACCCTGCACGTTGCGAGTTTTAGTACGATGTGCGATACGTTTCGGCGAGAGCCCCTTTTTTTGCGAACAGCACATGCTCTCCACTCTTGTGTGCTAAATTATTTTGAAGACTGTCCGCGGCGTTGAGGCAAGGGCACCATGCTGACAACAAGCAGCCCGTCAACTCAGTACGTGTTATGAAGATCTAGTTACGTTGTCAGACGTTGTGGGGCACTTTCGCGCATAACGCCTTGCCCGCCCTACTGACACGTCGACTGGTCAGAGTAGAATGAGTTATGTATGCGGTAAACACGGGGAAACACGGGGATGGAGGAGGAAGAGAAGGAGGAGGAGAGGATCGCTGCAAGGCGGAGGACGAGGAGGAAGAGGAGGAGGGCGATGCGCGCAGGGAGCACCATGCAGCACACGCACACCTCCTCCCCGCGCCAAGAGCGTATCACGACGGAGGTTCTTGGGCCATCCGATGGCATCGCGACGCAGGGTTTGGGGCCATGATCGGCCTCGGAGGCCCCTCCCTGGGCCCCTCCAGGCCTTCCTTCCTCTGGGGCCGACGCTGTGCAAATCAGGACCCTGGGGGTCTGGGCCACCCCCCCCCCTCGTCCTGCTCCCCCCCTGCCCTCCCACCCCTCCCTCCCCCCTCCCCTTCCCTCCCCTCTTCCCTCCCCCTTCCCTTCCCTCTCCCCTCCCCCCTCCCATCCCTCCCCTCCTCCTCCCGCCCTGCCCTCTCCCTGGCCCCCTCTTTCCCCCGCGGCACGGCGGGGAGCACGTGGCCTCGCCTCCGGCGCGCCTCTCTCTCTCTCTCCCTCCGGCGACGGCCGCCGAGAGAGCTGGTGGCAGCAGGGGCTCGGCGCGCCCCCGCCGGCGGAAGGTGGGGCGGAGGGCGGCGGGCGCGGGGCGCAGAAGTGAGGCGCCAGCAAGTCTGGATCCCTCTCTCTTACGCCCCCTCTGTTCCTCCCCCATCTCTGGTTGATGCAAGCTTCGCGCGGCCCGCTCAGCTTCGACCGGAAGGGTGCGCGGTCTCGACCCGGGAATCGAAACAGTTTGGCTCCCTCGAGGAAGGGAGAGCGGCATGAACACAAGCTTGTTGCGCTCCGCGCGGATTTCCTGGATCCGCGCGCCAGGGAGGGGGGGGGGTCCAGCGCAGATCCAAGAAGTCCGCGCTAAGCGCCAAAAAGTTTGCTTCATGCAACTGTTCCTCTTTCAGAAGTTGGACGTCAGCAATCTTGGATCCTGGGGTTCCGCAGTCGGTCGCATGTCGGCAGCTTTGAGACGGGGGTCCGTGCAAGAGGGTGTCGGGCAGAGCGCCTGATCTTGCATGATCCTCCAGAGCATGGACTCGGATTTGGGTGTGGAATCTTGCAGGATCCTGCAGGATCTTGAGTATTCTGCAAGAACTGACTGGCCCTGGTTTGGATTGACCCGGGTCAGTAGATTCCCGAGCATGCGGGCCCGGCCAGGGTCCATTTGGGTTCGACTGGTCCGATTCGATATCGAGTTCGGCCGGGCCCCGTGGGAGAGGCGATTCTTACGTTCTGGCGCTATGACGAGTCCCGATGCTCACATGGCGTTTCTGTGAATCCTGGGGCCGCCGGTCCGATTCGATTTGAATTCCGTGCCGATGCGGCCCGATGCGACGCACGTTCCGATCCGATGCGGGTTTTCCCGATCGGAGCTGACTGATCCTTTTCCGGCGAGGGCGGCGTCGAGTCCATGCAGGCGGGCATCACGCTGCGCGACCTGGTGCACGCCATCCCGTACTACGCCATCAAGGCGGGGGACCTGACCGTGCCCAAGGCCCGGCGGCGGCGCCAGACCGAGGGCACCTCCTCCTCCTCCGCCTCCTCCTCCCTCCTCCTCCTCCTCCTCCTCCCCCTCCTCCTCCTCCTCCTCCTCCTCCTCCTCCTCCTCCTCCTCCTCCTCCTCCTCCTCCTCCTCCCCTTCCTCCCCCCTCCTCCTCCTCCTCCTCCTCCTCCTCCTCCTCCTCCTCCTCCTCCTCTTCCTCCTCCTCCTCCTCATCCCTGATCCCCTTCCGTGTGTTCTTGGACCACACTGCACGATCTGCTTCAGAATGTGGACCACTACCAGACTGAAGCAGAGCCCTGTCCCTGCAGTCAACCCGCACAGCCAGGATGAGCAACCTTCCAGAGGGTACCCTTGCATCGTTCTCCCTTATCGGCCCATCCTCAGCGGCATTCGCTCGCCAGCCCCGTTCGGAAAACGTTGACATGGCTCTCCAAGTCCCTTGCATCCTAACCGCGCATCCCTATGATACGGGTCGACTGTATGATCGCCATCCCCGGATCTCGATGCTGATGATACGAATCCCCTGAGGTATTTGAGTGTTCATCTCTGAGATAGCTAGCCATCTCCTTGATTGTGGTAACTTACTCCGAGTTTATTAATAAGCGTCGGGGGGCGTCACCCCCGCCGACAGCCCCACATCGACCCTCGTCGCTGGCAGCCACCGCGCGCCGAAGGTGCTCCGACCCCCGTCGCGTCGCGACGACGATGAGAGGTTGACCCCCGTTGGGGGGGTACCCCCCCACGCTTATTAAGAAACCCAGAGTAGGGATAGGGATGAGCTTGAGACTGGCTCGACCCCCAGAATGGAGCCTTTCTTGCAGGGACGGGTCATCCGTGCCCTTTTTCGCCCCCTAGGAGGAGGAGGAGGAAGAGGAGGAGGAGGAGGAGGAGGAGGAAAAGGAGGAGGAGGAGGCGGAGGAGAAGGAGGAGGAGGAGGAAGAGGAGGAGGTGGAGGAGGAGGAGGAGGCGGAGGAAGATGAGGAAGAGAGGAAGAGGTGGAGGCGACTGAGGACGAGGAGAAAGAGGGAATGGGGGGAGGGAGGGAGTGGAGCAGGAGGAGTAGGAGGAGGAGGAGGAGGGAGGAGGAGGACGAGAAGGAGGCGGAGGAGGAGGACGAGGAGGAGAAAAGGAGGAGAGGAGGGAGGAAGAGGAGGAGGAAGAGGGAGGCGGCTGAGGACGAGGAGGAGGGGAGGGAGGGAGTGGAGCAGGAGGAGGAGGAGGGAGGAGAGGAGAGGAGGAGGGAGGAGGAGGAGGAGAGGAGGAGGAGGAGGAGGAGGGAGGAGGAGGAGGGAGGGCCGCTTTGGGTTCAGGGGGGGGCTTCTGCTCTTCGGCCCAGCTCCAAGCCGGTTCGAGGAGCTGGCGCGCGGCCGAGGCTCGCCGCAGCCGGGGGCGCGCCCTTGGGTTCCCGAGGTCGCGGCCCGCACGAGGCAGCACGCGGACTGCCGGCTGCGGCTGCTCTGACGAAGCGTTCGCCGCACCCTCCCGCGGCGGCGCGCGTCTGACGAGCACGGCGGGGAGCGGATCCGCCCGTGGCGGCGAGCCTCTCCTCCTCCTCCTCCTCCTCCTCCTTCTCCTCCTTCTCCTCCTCCTCCTCTCCTCCTCCTCCTCCTCCTCCCTCCTCCTCCTCCCCCTCCGCCTCCTCCTCCCCCTCCTCCTCCTCCTTCTCCTCCCCCTCCTCCCCCTCCTCCTCCCCTCCTCCTTGTCAGTTCGACGGCCCAGAGTTGGAGGAGGAGGAGCAGAGGACCAAGCAGCAGCAGAAGCAGGAGGGGGAGTGGGCGACCGCTCGCAGCCGAAGAGGCCAACAAGAAGAACATCTTCGCGG